AAGAGGCCGGAGATTAATTTATAAAAGTGATCCTGATCACCCTTCTCGAACGATTTCAGACCCCTTTCCCTCACAAGCCTTTCCTTCTCGAAGGTTTCTAAACCTCCGAACGTCTTCCCTCCCTAGACATCCAAATCTTCTAGAATGTCTCATCTCACCCCTTCCTTTTCCCGAGTCCCACCTCGGACAATTATATCCAACATCATCTTCAGCAAGGTTCCCAATCTGCCATCCCTCCCAATGAGTTTACACGGGAAATAATTCCTCTAATATCTATATCCCCGATACAGTATCCACAACCTCGCAACGACCTGCAAACATCGTCTCACTCTATTTATTTAGCTTCAAAAAAAAAAACTCCTCAAATTCTTAGATCTCTTGGCGCTTGTTTCGGGTTTGTTTTTTGGTTTCCCTCGCTTCAATTGTTATCCGATGTTTTGCCATCGGAATCTCAGAATCTCAGGTGCCAAAGCACGGGATCTAGATTCATTGAAGGCACGGTCTATGGCCTGATTTGATGAGATTGAAAATGTCTCGGGAGTTGCACGTAGAGACAACGTCATAATCTGGCTCAGCCTTATATTGTCCATCAATTGGGGAGCGAGATATCGATCAGAGTAGCGCTCTAGCTACAGCCAAAGAAGTGTCCACTTCACGGAGGCTTGATCTTCAGTGCCCCAAAGGCATGAAAAGGCCATATTCCGAACCCCTTTCCGTCAGAACCCGCAAGAAACCCATTTTACACACTCCCGAATTTGGGACATCGATATCCGCATCCGAAGATACATTCCACTTCTTTGTTTCTCGGACTTCAAGCTGCAATCGCGTTTTCAACAAATGCAAGTTAGCAGCCGATTCTTACGTCACTCTCCCGCACTTTCCTACCTGTCACATCACCCCCCTGCGACTTCGCCCTCAATCTACCTCAACGTTCTCTCACCGTCAAAACCTCCCTCCCCTCCGTCCCTCCCAATATCCATCCCGTTGACTCGGCTCCTCGCAGCCATACATCCTTCCTTCCCGTCGGTGTGTTCCCGCAACACGGAAGCCAGCGATCGGCAAGCCTCATCCCATACCTATGGACACAATTGCCACGAGGGATAAAGCGATAAAGGATCTGCGAGTCTGACAGTGTATCACCCGCCCCTCAGCCGTGGGCTGCAGTCGTATCAAGGTTACGTTACGCCGTGGCTTCGCCGGATGCAAGTATCCCAAGCCCAACCCAAGGCGCCAAGAAGCCCATTCCAAGCCTTTTTTGTCCGGGAAGGGACGCCACGAGGTGGCTGCGGTTAGAGACCTAGTGGCCTCATCCGGAACGTTAGGAACAAGATACCGTAGGACGACCAAATTTCTGTGCCTGAGTGAGTGCAGTAGCCGAAGTGAAACGCGAAAGCCTGTGTCACCACATTTCGACGATCTGGAAAGATCTAGACCGCGTCTTTGTTGAAGGTTCCGTAGTTCGTGTCGAGGATACATTAACGTACAGAGAAAGAGATATTGTCGGATATTGTTACACGTGGGGGTTAGATCGGTTTGGTTGGCATGCTTCTTGCGTAACGTCTTTCTCCCTTTCTCTGAGTTCTGTTCACAGTATCTGATTTGTTGATTTGAGAGAGAAGATCAGCTAGTCCGCCCCGCTGCAAAGTTATAATGGTTCGATGACCGCACGTAGATATGTCATAGGCTTTTCATCTGAGTCAATGTTTTAACCTTACTCGCGTCTATTTGGACCAGGTAACGTAATACCAGAAGAGGAAATAAATTCGACCTTAATCCCAAGACTCAGAATCTAAACTATCAATCTCATAAAGTAACTTTTCGGCGGATCCAAAAGGCGGCTCGGTGATTCAAGAAACTTTCTGTTATCATCAAAGAAAGAACCTATCTTAAACTTAATCTTGCGGGATTCCTCATTCGTTGTCCATCGAATTCTGAAACAACGGAACCCAAGGTGAGCTGAAAGAGAATTCTTCTGTACTCGAGTCCGTTCTGAAAATCCTATTTCTCTGGACATGCATCTGCATACTCAATTGAGCGACTCCTTTCATCACAGGAGGTAAACATGGCGATCCCAATCTGCCAGAAATCCTCTCCCGCCTGCCCAATTGCCGCATCTGATCCCGAGCCAAAGAGAGTTTTTCTAATTCTGCTCCTGTTTTGGGCGTCCAGACATGCGCGCAGATGCCCATTCAAGCAACAATAATAAAAGAAAGTTCTTCCATTTCAGATCATCCATCCTAGTTTTTCTCCAAACAGCACGCCAAAGCCAATTCCAGCACCAAAAGTTCCAAATAAGCAGAAAGAAAGTTCTTCCTCAAGGCTTTTATAGGTTAGGATCAAGTCAAATGCAGATGCCCAAAATCTCACACGGTTCTTGCATATGCCAATTCTTAAATCTTCCATGTGGAAGTGTCAAACACGTCTTTTATACTTCCCAGGATCCGTGCGTGTACTGTACTTTGCAGATATCCATGCACAAACAACCTTTCCTCCAGCTATCCATCTATCCGGCCGGCCGAACGTTTGTTTCAAATCTCGGTGAGGTTGATATTGTCGGCATAACGAAACTATACTTAATGGATCTATGCCGCCACTTACCTCTCATGATTCCTTCTATGATAGATACTGTAGTATGATAGTATCCTAACTTTACGATTCTTCCAGCATGAAACGTTTTTGATTTTTCAATACCTTCTTCTGTGCTACCTACCCCCTACAGGGGTGAATAAATGTTAAATAACGCTATAGGAATTAACTTATCGCAGACAAAAACACGAGATCCTGACCAGGTGATTGGATATCTCCCGCGGGGTGTTTAATTCTAAGGTGATTGTGGTCGTGTCTCCAAGGGGTGGTGAGACCAATCATCTCTCCACGATTCACGGTATTTTGCTATATCTAGTTAAATGCTGACCTGTGCTTATTAACATTTATTATGGCCTGTACGTAGTAGACTACTGTATTCGCCATTGGAAGTTATCCCTGCATTAACATCTACTCCCTACAGGCCTTATTAAATGTTAATAAGCAATGGCTAGTGTTTAACTAGATATAGTAAAATACCGCGACCTCGAGCAAGTGATTAGTCCAGCCGCCCCTTGGAGACACGGCCACAATCATCTCAGAATTAACATTTAAAAGGCCTTGTGGGTAGTATTACAACCCGTAGGTAGTACTCACTTGCCTCCTTTTACTTTGCTTCGTTTCCATCATTATTAGCGTCAGCTCAGTCTCGTCTCATCTGATTTCCGCTCGTTTCCTCTCCCATCCCTCAAAACCACCCTCTCGAAGTCCAACCCCCCTCACCACCCACCAACCACCACCTCACAATTCAATTTCGGCACCCTCTCCAAAACCCCAAACTTTAAAATGACGTATGGCGTTACATCTTACCCCCAAACCCCCCCTTTCTGACGTGGAGGATAGGAATAGATTTAAAGTTAAAGTTAGAGTTTCTCGCTTGTCCAACAATCCTATGCATGCACGGACAAATCATCTCGTCATGGTATCATATCCTTCTCTTTTGACTTTCCTCGTTATGTCCGATACTAGCTGCAGAAGCGGATATGAGTGGTACGTATACACTGTGTTGGGATATGCAGGGTCCGCTGATCAGAGAGGTGGTGCGGGTGATGATGATAGAGTTCAACGCAAGAGTGCGTCTACAAAAGGAGGTATGGAAGTCTTGGGAAAGGTCCGCGAAGAAAAGTATAACAACCACGGAGAAGCCCCTATTCGAGTACTGCGCTCCGATACGGACGGATGATGTCCGCGAAGCTGTCGTCGAGTAGGAGATGTTTGATAGCCAAGACCTGAGTGAGGGCTAGGATGAGCATGGAAAGGCAGGAAAGTTTATGCCAAGAGAAGATGGGAACATGGGGCGGGAAAGCCCTAATCGAGAGCTTTGAGGCGAGTGCCGGATGCCGGATGCCGAGAAGCCAAGGCATTGTGGAGGGAGAGAGAGAAATGCAAGGTCGGCAGTTGAAGATGAACAATGTCTGAATCAATATCGTTCTTGGCGACTAGGTTTGGCATCTGCAAATGCTGAAATAGAGTTCGACTTCCATGTTCACCTGTGGGGAGGCCTCCGGCGGGTTCCGACTACGAGTGAGGTATAACTAGCATAAGATACTGCATTGTTATATGATCACAGGGTCATGTCCACCTGCGGAGAGACATCCGAGGAGGTCTGAGTGCGAGTGGAGCGTTTGCTCTCAAAGAGCGAGAGAAAAGGCGAACATTCTGAATTTGGAATAATTTGACTGAGTGAGAGTAATACGCTTCCTATTTGATGTCTCTTGCAAGGCAATACTATGCATGTACTTGATATTCGTTTGAGATCTGGGGATTGGCAGGGAAGCACTTCCTGAAAGCTCTACACCTGGTCTAATGTCCGTCTTTCAGTTCTAAATAAGGCCGGGAAAGAAAATTTAGTTCATTCGATATCATCGAATCAGTATTACTCAACACTCAGTCGACCTTCACCTCTATCTCACTAGTATTCATTCGTGTGACAAGGCAAGAGAAACCATCTTTCCATAGCCAAGCTCGCTTCAAGTTCAAGTATTAAATAGTCTCTGCCTCTAGCAGTATGGTTAGCTGACGGCTGTATGGTAGAAGACTGGCGGATTCCTGGTGAGCTGGATTGTAGCAGCTTCTTCAATCGGCAGGTCTCTCGGCTACCAAAAGAGGGTTCGACTGAGTCGAGGCATTCTGAAGACTTCTTCTTGTTGGACAACTACCAACTGATTTTCTCTGAATACACCTTCCAAGGTTCAAATTGATTTCCCTTGCATGTTACAGAACAGTCGTATCAATGTACGCAAGAAATTCTACCAGATTGCTCCCTCTGATTCACCTCCCTGCCGCATCTGATCCCAAACGTCGAGTCTGACTCACAACCTTCTCAAATGTACTATGTAGATTCAATTGACAAAATGACTGCCAACATGGTAAGAAAGGCCCGCAGTCATTGAATAGATTTAAAATAACTAACAAGAAACATATAGCACAGTTAGAAGCGCATTGGGCTCATATCCCCAAGGTCCCAGGATCAAGACCTGGTCATGCTAGGGGGTTTTTTTTTATTTATTTCAATGTCAATCATGTTTGACTGTGAGATTAATGACTGAATATGATGTGAGATAGGATGATGGGGTTCTACTTTGCTCGTTTACACAGTTTTTGAGGCGTGAGTGAGGCAGGGCATGCTTGGTACCGATGCGCTTTGGCGAGAACGAAGCCAACCCCTTTCAAAGACATCGAGTTCACAGACCTCAGCATCTTTGGAAGATTCAATAACACAACTGCTATCAAGTGACATGCAGGGAATTAATAACTCTCTATTGGATTTGATTGCTAGATCTGAAATGCTCCAGATTGAAGGGGCCTGAGCATGACTTCACCCCCCTTTCACCTCGCTTAACATGGAAATATGAAAGATCCCAGATTTCTGTCATTTAACCTCTTTGTATCACTGCAACGCAAGAAACATGAAGATAATTTTCAAAGCAGGCAGGAAGCTCTGCCTCCTTTGACTGCAATGCCCTAACATTCACTGAACGAGCTGGACCAAAAATACAAAGGGGAGGGGGCGCAGGCTAGACTCAGAGACCCCCTCCGGACCGGAGCTGTGAGACATGCAACAAAAAGATAATCAATGCTCTAACTGTAAGAGGACTTTCCCAGCCTTGTCAAATATAAGACTCCTTCACCTTCCAAAAATTCACTGAAAGTTAGGTCGAATCGAGACTAGACCGCCCGCTAGCTTTGCGCCACACTGAGATATGCAACAAAACTTGGTCAATGTCCCGTTCAGAGGGAGGAATTTCCAGCTATACATTCACTGAATAGCTAGACTGAAACGAGGTAGAGTCCCAGGCACAACGCTACCTGGAGATGCTCCGGAGAGTGTCGGCTAGGACGAGATGTGCAACAAAAACTCCATCAATGTCTCGATTGTGGACGGGACATTTAAGCTTTATTAAATATCTACGCATCTCGGGACAATGGAGAGGAGAGCAGTGCAGAGCAAGGCGTCAAACCTGGACAATCACAGAGAGCTGAAATTGATGCATAGAGTAAAAGCAGAGAGAAAAGCCTTCTAGAGACATTTCAGTATCCCAGTAATTGCTGGTTATCATTTATTCACCTCCCACATCTCCTCTGAATCTACTCACCCCTTTTCCATCCATATGAACGCACTCCCTTTTCCCAACACACCGACCCAACGCTATCCGTTCATGTAGATTTAAATAAACGTTACCCCATTATCACCCAACGTCCATGGCGCACATGGAGGGCTGCTGGTGAAGTGGTTTATTATACTCTACAATCCTGGCACTTTTAAATCAGGTACCGGAATTTGGATTCCAGGTTTTTGGTAGGGAATCGCGAGTTCGAACCTCGCGCGTTCCAGACACATTTTTTTGAAGTTTCTTTCTTTTGATGTTATAATAGAGGAAATCTTTGTGTGTTCTTGGAAGCCGTAGCATTCGTGAGGAGAGAAGCGAAAAGAGGTGAGTGACGCTTGGCAAGTGTAATAGCTGCTTGCCTTCCTTTTTCGCTACTTCCTTAGAAAGGAGGGGAACGGACTATCAAGTGTTGTGATATTGGAAAACAGACAGAGGCCTTCGACACCCAGACATCCAAGAAGTTATATGGAGGTGATATGAGGGTACTAAAGGAACCAGAGAAGTCCCAAGCGACGAGACGTTCAACAAAAAGGAGTCAATGTCTACAATAATATTTGTACAGTAGATGCAGAAAGACAATGATGATGACTACATTGAGTATAAAGCCTAACTAGAAGACTTAAAAGGGTTACAGACAAAAATCAGAAGCAAAAGAAAATACTTCAAATCATGGATATCATTCTCTATGCTTTTCCGGTATCTCAGCGGCGGGCACATACCATGCCATCCCTCCCATATTCAGAGGCCCTAACTCCAAACGCCGCTTCGAAAATCTTACATCCTAAACACTCAGATCTATGCTCCTATAGGACCGCTCTCCTTTCTCCATCCCTTCGATCTCATATTCTCCTCAACCGCCTTCCAGATCCCCTCTACAACCTCTCTATCTCTCCATCTGCCAGCAGGCCCCTGTCCCGGATTCCACTTATCGACCTGGACACTCATGACACCTCTTCCCCACCCCCTGACCGTATCTGGCACCTGGTCACCTCTGAAGCCAACATAGACGCCCAGTGTATGCTTGAACAGATCTTGAGGTTGCTGCCACTTGTAGCTCTTAAACTGCCATGCCTGACCCGTTGTGAAGACCGCTACAACACGACTCCAATATTCGGGCTTGAAGCGCTCAGGTGTATCAACGACAACAAAATTAATAGGCTTGATAGGATCGACTGATGGGATGAGACGGCTCATTTTGAGAAGAGCATTGGAAGCTGAAGGCATGCTTCCACTGTCTGGAGGAACGTAAATGCCAGTTTCGAGGAAGGACTTGGCATTCGACATTCTGAGAAGAGACGAGGCGGATGGAGAGAGCATGATAATTGGCTCCGGACGGCGACCTGGTGGTGCTTTCGGGTTGTGAGCGAGAGTTGTGCTTGTAGCTGCAGCAGCGGCGGCCGCTTGAGCTGCTTTTCGGGCATTGAAGGGCGCTGCCATCTTGCGGACATGCGAGAAATCCTGTTTCAATCAGCTTCATGCCATATGCCATCCACACCACACGCGACAGGAGAATACATACCGTAGGCTTGATGCCTCTCAACACACTATTTCTATCTCCCATCTTCCTCTCCCCATTATAAATTTCCTGCAACCGCGGATCGATCGTCTTTCCAGCTCCCGGCTTCCCACTCGACACTGGCGCAATACCACCTTTAACACCTGCAGCAACCTGCGCGCTCGCTGCCGCAGCACTCGTATCCTCCTTCAACGGCCTAATATGCTCAGACTCTTCACTCGCACCCTCTAGCCACGTAATAAGATCCAATCTTTCAACGAAAGCAAGATTCTGGACTTCTCCTCCCGCGCCACCAGCAGATGCTAGCTCCTCGTTGAGCGAAAGCGCTGAAGCATTGTATTCGGGAATGGCAGTCTCGCGCTTCAACCACGCAAAGTAGATACTGCGCAAATCGACTGGTTTATCAGAGGAGATGAAGCGCGTAGGTGTATTGAGAGGGATCGAGGTTTGCACGGGAGAGGAGAATTGGAGGTATGTTGCTCGAGCTAGGCTGAGGTCGACTGAGGATGCGGACGAGGCATCTTCTGTTGTGGTTGGAACGCAAGGACTGCCTGCTGCTATTGATTGTCGCAGGAGTAGCAAAGGATCAGTCTGAGAGGTAGCCATATTGCTCAATTGCAATGCGACGATGGTCTCGGGGTTGGAAGGCTTGGTCTTTGAAAGGCTCCCAAATATCGAGGTCTGTTGAAAGTACGGTAGTCGTTGATGACACTGGCGCACTTCGCGCGAAATCACGTGGATCCTCTTCGGCGACATCCAGGCCAACTTTCGTGGAGCACTTCCGCCCATCTCAGCAGTCTGAGGGACATCGATAAGGTTAACGCCTACCCCATATCTGTGCATCCTCAATTGGGCGAGATTCACCAGTGATCCATGCTGGTACAATTTTATGCTTGGAACTTTGGATCAAACAATTTTCATTCTTGATTAACTACTCCTGAATTTCATCGCTCTTGTCTTCCCAAGAGAATGTCCCGCAGTACGTGAGACTCTTTGAGCAAATATTTTCCTACTTCTATCCCTAGCAGTCCAACCATCTACCGGTACGGAGTAACTGTACTTCCAGTTGTGCCACCGTCACTCGTATCGCCCGCGTTCACTCTTCTGATCACTTTCAGCCCCGCGCTCTTTCTCCTCCCATGAAATGGGCAGACACCGTTACCTCCACTCGAATGCATTGGATTCTTGGGACAGAGTGGGCTGCTTGGCAAGTGTTCTGGTGGTAAGCTCAGCTCAAAAGCTGACGGCGTAAATGCTCTGGTCGCATGCTTCTCAATTGGATGAGATAATTTGTTGCCCGTAGTTGCGTGCTTAGAGTCAGCCTCCCACCATTCGCGAGGTGAAGCCTTTGGTGAGGAGGCCTTCGGCGAACTCTTGGGCTTTCCTATGGCACTCCCAGAGCCAGCGCTTGTAACTGGCGAAGCTGTGTCTGCCTCATTCCCAGCCTTGCCCAAGTCGAAGAAGAACCCGCGTGCTCCTATGGCAGGGGTACCAGAAGACATTGGTGGCGTGTTGATACGCGTGGCTTCCTAGGTCATCGCGATTCAAGTTAGCCATCACTTGGACTACGTATCACGCCTGGGTGAGTACCGCGAAGGCTTACGGATGGGAGAAAATTGGGTTCACTTGGATCTGGGCTTGATATATCAACTAACGCAGGAAAATTAGCTCTTCTGGCTCCTGCTCATGACAACGACTGAACTTACCCTTCGGGTATGTTCGCCCTTCATGCCCAGCATACCTAAACTCCGGGTATGGTGAGGCTGCAGGTGTTCTGCCCATCAAAATTTGGTGTACAGAACTTGAAACCGATAAGAATGAATCATTGGAACTCTTGCGGTGCCATGGAGCTAGGCCGAAAGGACGGCGAGGTCTGTATTCAGGGGACGAAGGCAGTGCCGGAGTCGAAGCGTACGACTTTGTTCCTAGCCGCTGTTGATTGTTGAAGTACCTAGCGGCTCCTTCAAGGACGGTAGTTGTACGAGAGCCCCAGCCGACCAGATCGAGGGAGTTCATTCCGGATTCTACCCTAGACTTTTCATCAATTAACAATGCCCCTTCAAACTGGGGACATTTAAATTTACCGGTTTTGGCGTTTTTGGAGCGAGAGTGTGCAGCCGCTTCTTGATTGACTTTTTTGTTCTGCAGCACAATCCTAAGGCTTCCTCTGGATGGTTGCTGCTAATGTCCGCCTCGGCGACAGGTCTTAGAAACTTGAACCTACCTAATTTGATACTTAGGAGAGATTCAACTTTGCTGCTTTGGCGGCTGCTCTTTCGCGACTTGCCCCCTCCTACCGAGACTGTCCGAGCAAATGAAACTGTGCTGCCAATTTTGATTTCTGGAATGTCCGTTCTTCGAG